GCTGGCCCGGGGGTATCTCTGGCTGTCAGTCCCGTGGTGGGTGGGGGGCGCCCCCACCGGCGGTGATTGAGCCCCAGCTCTCCCACCAGGCCTGCCAAAATACAGCGAGACAGGGTGTAATTACCGGCACTTACCGCGGCCATTACCCCCCTCGCCGCTGCGCGTGACACACGACCCATCAGCTCGGCGTTTGCGCCATTAAGGGGCCTCATTAGCATCCCGGCTCAGAAGCAAAATTACCCTCACTGCTCATTTCAAGATGTCATCAATTTTAATTTAGGGCCCAAAGATAGTACAATGGGAAGGCCCTCCCCGGGCCGCCGCACACGGAGGGGTGGGGGAGGGGCGCGGGGCGCCACCGGGGGCGGGGGCGGAGGGGACCGAGGCGGAGGGGACAGAGGGGAGCGGGAGAGGTGGGGGAGGAGCGAGGCGGGAGGAAACGTCCCTCTCCTTCCCAAGAAAGGAAAAGGACCCCAGGCTAGATCCTCCACTGGCACCCCGGGAGGGCACAGGGGGGACCGGACCCCCCCCCCCAGGGCCATAGGAGGTGGATGTCTGCGGCCACACGCATGGAGTGAAATGCAGGGCTTGGCTCTTCCCTTCGGTCATTCCTGTGACTCCCACAACCACCTTGAGAGGTGTGGATTGCAATCCCCATGACAGATGGGCAACCGAGGCCGRAGGCCCCCACCACACAGCCAGCCAAGGGGGGCCCACCTGTAAATCCAGGACTCCCGGGCTTTGAGGCCCCCTGCCTTCYGGTACTCAGCACCCCTGGCCTGTGGAATAGCCTCCCAATCAACAGCCCGAGCCTGTGGGTGGGGCAGCCACCCAGCCTCCCTGACACTGGTCCCCAAATGCCTCTCATCTGCAGCGGGTCTGTCCCCCCTTCATCAGGCCTTTGGACATTGGGTATCCCAGGCCTGGAATGTCCCCCCCCCCATGCTCCTCTCCTCCCCCGCCCCCATGCTCCTCTCCTCCCCCGCCCCCATGCTCCTCTCCTCCCCCGCCCCCATGCTCCTCTCCTCCCCAGCCTCAGGACTCAGCTTACCACCACCTCTGCCCCTTTCTCCAAACCCATGCTGACTCACTGCCACAGGCTGACTTGCTTGTGTCCCCCGTGCCCACTCTAGCTCTTGGACACCTGGACTGGCCCTTATCCATCCAAGAATTCTCCAGAAGCCAGCACTGGGCCAGCTCCCAGTGGGTGCTTGGCATTTGTCAAGGGAATGCCACGCCAGCTCACTAGTGTTTCTGCCCCCAGGTTCCTCTGTGCCCCCCTTGTCTGGGGCACAGAGGAACCACAAGGAGTGGAGACTCCAATCTCTCCCTCCATTGTTTAGATGAGCAGCTGCGGTTCTGTGAGAGCTCAGGAAGGACTATTTCAGGCTCTTGATGACAGGAGCAGGTGTGCATGAATGTTTGTTGAGTGAATGTATAACTGACTGAGTTCACGAACAAATGAATCAGTGATGGAAAAACCTCCCCCCGGGCCTTGTTCAGGTCCCTGCAGCAACAGAAATCTTGGCGAGTTCCTCCCCGGGCCTTGTAGTGACTTGACACATCAGTGTTGGTGGACAAAGYAGAGGCTGGGCACATTCTACACCCTAAAGTCACCTCTTTCTGAGTGAGTGAAACCTCACAGGCATCCCCATAGGCCTCTGGCTGGTCTTTGGGGTTTTGGAAAGTCCAGTTTGAGAGGGGTACGTGGGGTTCCTCCTCAATTTCTCAGTATTTCAGGTCAGCTCTGCCATTTGTCCTAATTCACAATGGAGTTCAAAAAAGACCCTGAAGCCCACGGGCCTTAGATTCTCCAAGTGTAAAGAAGGAGGCCATGTCCCTTATGATCCTCAGGCCACCGTGGTGTGAGGTTTGGTGACCTGGCAGCAGGAGGACGGCTAGGACTGGGGGTGCGCACAGGCTGAGGAGAAAGGGCGTGACAAATCACAGTGCCTGTCACCCCACCCGGGGCCTCCTGCCCCCACTGGCCACCGCCAGGGTGAAAAGAGAAGGCAGGGCCCCCAGCCCAGAGCCCTGAGACGGGGTCCCCACCGGCAGCAAGCGCCGCTCCCCGGCCTCGCAGAAGACAGATCGCTCCCTTAATCACTCTGGAAAAGAACCCCAAGCCGATATAATATTATAATTAATTAATTCACTAAAAAGGTATTAAATTTCTCTCCCCCCTGTGGATATTATCTGAATTCATTGACCTTTAGAAAAATCACCCTCTAATTGTAACCAGGTCCAAAAGCATTTGCAGCCCGTCCCTTTTACATTAATAATATCTTCCCGGACTCGGCTCTGGCTGCTTAAATATTGTATAAATTCCACTGCCCCCTCAGAAAAGGGAGCGCAAAGAAAAAGGATGAGGCTGGAGGAGACAGAGAGGGGGATGGGGGCTGGGCCCCAGGAGCTGGGGGTTAGCCTGGGTGGTGGGGTCAGGAGGGGCATCAAAGGGGCTCTTTCCACTGCCTTAGCTGACCAGGCAGGTGACTTGGAGGGGTGGGGGGAGGGGAACAGGCTTTGAGGTGGGGCAAGGAGACCGGTTGCAGAGGGAGAAGGGGTGTTGAACTTGGGGGTAGTTGTTAGGAGGCTGTGTGTGTATGTGGAGAGGAGATCCATAGCATGTATCAGCCTCATCCAAGTTAATGGCTCCAAATAATAAAGCAACAATCTCTGATTTAAAAGAATCGTGTGTGTAGAATTCCAAGCAGGACATTCTGAGCGTCTGCTCTTTCTTTCCCAGGCTGCCCGCCAGCTGGCACGGCACATGCAGAAATCCAGAGCTGCCTAACATAGACCAGGTAGGTACTGTGGAAGAGAGCCGTGGGTGTGGACAGACAGGCAGACACAGGACCCGGAGCTGAGGACAGGGGGATCCTCCTTCCCATCTTTGGGAAGTGTGCCAGCTCCAGCATTGGGACCCCAAGGAACCCAAGGGAGCTACAGCTACTTGTCCTTTCCTACCTAACTTGGACCCCCTCCCCAGACCCCACATCACACTTCAGTTTGTTCTCAAGGTGTGTGTGTGGGGGGGGGGGGTCACTTCCTCCATGATAGGAAGGGAAAAGGGCCTACCAGGTCACCCGGCCTTCACAGCCCATTTCCCTGTCTGCCTTTTTAAAATAAATGTTCCCTCTGTGTACCCCACACCTGGAAAGGTGTAGTCAGCTGCAAAGAGCAAGGATGGGGAGTACATTCCCCTTATTTAATCGGGGACATTCAGAACCACCAGCTAAAACTGACTGCCTGGCTCCATTCCATTGGCAGGTGAAGGCTGCACAGGCCGGTTTCAGATACACCTTCTGGTGGCTTGTTGAGATGACCTGGGCAACTCTTAAGGAAGCTAGTAGGCAGACAGGACCCCTGGGCACAGTGGAAGCCACCCAAGCAGACAGCCTGGAATGTTCAGTTCAGATGAGACTCCTCCACCCCCACCAGTCCCTGGTAGGCAGAGGCCTGGCCTGGCTCAGAGCGCCCTCTTGTGGAAAGAACCCCACCCACACCCTGGATCCTGTCCAACACCAGACCCACCTATCCAGGATGCAGATGGTGGCCAAGGTGCAGGAGCCCAGGGACCAGAAGGCCAGCAGGTAGATGGGGAAGGGGGTTACGGTGGTTTTAAGGGGGCTCTGTGAGGAAGCAGGGGAATAGGTTTCCACTCCACTGAAAGAATCCCTGGGGGAAGGGGAAGACCACGTAGGGCAGGGAGACATTTCTTAATCACCCGRAGGACCGGCCCCTAGACTTCCTAGATTTTAGCTCTCCAGTGCCAAGGAAGCCAAGCCTATGTCTTCAGGTGTACCCCAGCTGGAACCCAGGGCTCACCCTGGGGGTTCAGAGTGGGGTTCCCAGGGCACAGACTAGATTCAGGTCACTGGGTGGGACCAGGAACTGGAAGGAGGTGCCAGTGCCCAGGCTGGCACAGATTCTGCAAGGTCATCCCCGGCTCCATCTGACCTTGAGATTAATCCTGCAACCTCCGCCAGCTCAGCGCCAGCTCAGCCACCCTAGCGCCCGGGCCGCCTGGCCTCTTTTYCCCCCTTTTCCCTCGCATGTTAATTGCTCCAGCGCTGATTTGATCTCCCATTCCACACAGAGGAAATTGCCCTCTTAGCCATTTTCATCGTAGAATTTTTTTTTAAATTAGGTGTCTTCGGCCGCTTTGGCCTCTGCCTGCAGAGACTGTGTAAAGTGGGAAGGAGCTGGGTGAAGCTCGAGAAGACCCGCTCTTCTCTCCTCCCAAGATACCTTGGACCCCTCACTGTCCCCAGCCCATTTCTTCATCCTGGACGGGATCTCAACCTCCTGGAACCTCCAAGAAAGGCCTTAGGGAACCACTGCAGGGTGGGAGGGCTGGGGCCCAGACAGAGGAGAGGATTTGCAGAAACCTAGTCTCCAGGAAGCGCCAGGGCAGAGTGGGAGCAGAACCATATTCTTGACTCACACCCAGTGTGCTGTGCGCCTGTCCCCTCTCAAAATAACTCACGAGGGTTCCTTTCCCTAAACCCATAGAAGGACACAGCCCCACAGTTTCTAGAAGCCTGTCCTGCAAGGGAAACAGAGAAGAGGGGCCAGCCTTGTCTCCAGAGTGTCCTGTTAGGGGTCTCGAGCTGGGTCTCTGGCACCAGGAAGGGGGAAAAGCTGGAGAGGGCCTCACTAGGCCAGGGGCGGGCAGTCCAGGGCTGAGGTGCCCCAGGGAAGCAGCTGAGGATGGTACACTGGCTTCTCTGCAAGGCAGTCGCCACAACTGTGGCTCCTGGATCTCAGGCCACAGCTGGAGGTGTGGGACCCGTGTGGCTGCACTGCCACCTCGTGGCCTTAAGGAGGCACAGCGCCCCCATCAGCACTAAATTGCAGTAAGTTAGCTTGCTTCTCCAGGTTCCCCTGGGGCAGGGCGGAGGCGCTGGGAGAATCCAGGCCGCTTCCTCCCCTCTGTACCCATTTCTGACTCCCTCTGTTGTCAGCCTAGGCCGCGCCAAAGAGATGGGACAAGCAGGTACAAAGCACAGTGTTTACTAAAGGCACACAGTGGGAGGTCCGGAGGGGAGCTGTTCTTCCAGCAGGGACCCCGCGCTCCACCCTGAACCCAGCCCCCTCTTCTGGCCACCCCACCGTCATACCACCCTGGGGGGAGTTGTTAGCACCAAAGGGGGGTGGGTGCCCCTCCTGTGGGGGGAGTACCAGGCTGGGGGTTGGGCTTGTTGCCATTCAAGTCCCAGAAAGGCAGGCCTGGGCACCCTGGCCAGTTCCTTCCACAGAGGAGTTTCCTGAACCCCTGCTCCAGGGTGTCCTCCATTGGAGGGGGGCACTCAGCCTCAGAAGGTAGGACCTCCCCTGCCAGGCGCTCTTCTTGCCTCTAGTCCACCCTGTCCCCTCTGTTCCCCCTCATGATCTCACCCCCGGAGCCCATTCCCTTCCAGCCCCATCAAGAGGGCTGCCTCTGGCGGGGGCACTGGGACAGGCGGGAGCTTCTCCCGACCCCACAGGCTGCCAGGCTGGCACTAAGTCCAAACGGGGCCAACAGGGAGGAGTGAGGCAGGGCAGGTGGCTACTTCACACACAAGTGCAGCCTGAAGGGTGGGAGGGAGGAATCCCCCCAGCCCCCAGGCCTGCCCCTGTTCCCTGGCACAGGGGCAGCCGGCGTCACAGCACGTCGCCCTCCTCCATGCTGAAGCTGCTCCGGCGGCTGCTGGCCTTGGAGGCCTCAGGGGACATGGTGGAGAAGAGGGGGTCAGAGGCCAGCGGTAGCAGGGAGTCGTCCAGGAGCATGAGGTCCAAATCCTTCTTGGACAGGTTGGGGAATGGGGAGCCATGCTCTGGGCCCAGGGGGTCGGAGTAGCCTGCGGTGCCCTCGTCACTCCCACCCCCAAAGCCCAGGCTGTGGCTGAAGTCCAGGTGATGGAATGGGGACGGTGGCTGGGCAGGAGGGGGCAGCGGGGCCTGGGGGGGCAGAGCTGGCAGCGCCTCGGGGTCGGGGACCTCTGCCCCCAGCATCAGAGCCTCCCCTGGGCCCTCCTCGCTGGGGAGCTCCTGCTTCACCACCTGCTGGGCCAGCTCAGCCATGTTCACGCCTGATGGAGAGGTGGTGGGGAGGCCGTGGACTCGGGCCTGCATCTCCAGCTCCTGCAGGGTGGGGAAGCAGACAGAAGGCTGGGGCACACACCCATGGCACCCACTGCCAGACCTCCCCCGTCTCTGCACCTCCACCTGGGGACGTCTCGGCTGKAGGAAAGCAGAGTGTGGCTCTAGAGTCTAGACCAGTGTTTTTTCAAACTACAAGTCGTAACTCATTAGTGGGTTGTGAAACCACTGTGGTGAGTCTTGACCAGCTCCTTTCCATTTTTTAAATTGAAATAGACTTGTCTAAACTAGACCGGAATAGAAATTATCAGAATGCATGGCATCTATTAAGGATGAGTTTTCTTTCATGAAACGTCAATTTTTCACTCTGAGCATGTCTGTGTGTGTGCTGGATTTTAACGTAGATTGTATTACCCACCGTGAGAACTAGAAGCTGCTGCCAGATCATCCCTTGTACATACAGAGGACCAGTCTCAGGTCCAAAGGGGACAAGAGAACCTCAATAGAGTCAGGACAGGACTGGAACTCGGGGTCCCAGCAGCTGGGTTCTCTGTCCAGCCGTGTTCCCTAGTTCCCCTGTGGTGATTCCTAGTACTTCCACCAAATGCTACCACCCCTCTGCCTCCCAGGCACTCGGTGGGTCTGCCCTTTCCTGTCCCCTCAGGTTAGGTGCAGAGTATACTTGAATTACCAAGCACATGTGAGCAGAATGGACATGTGGCACCTTAAGAAGGACACACAGCTCTAACAGCCCACTCTAGATGCGCCTCACCACCCACCTGAGCCCCAGAATGAGGGTCTCACAGAGCAGAGCCTGCAGTTGGCATCTGCTGCTTCACCATCCTGGGGTCTGTTTGTTAACGCAGCAGAACAACCTGACTCCCAAGGGCTTCCCTCCTCAGGCACATCATTCCTCCGTCTCCAATTTTAGGAGTGTGAACCTTGCCCAGGGTCAGGGGTCAGAGCTGCCCAAGACGTCCACTTTCGGGGCCAGACCTGGATGCGGAGCCAGAGCTGCTTGTTGGTCATCTCCAGGCGCCGAGAGTGGTTCTCCAATTCCCTGGACTTCTGCAGGTCCTTCTGCATCCTCCGGATGTAGTCGACGGAGGCCTTGAGGATGGTGCCCTTGTTCCAGCGCACGTCCCTGCAGCCGTGGGTCGAGCAGAGTCAAGGTGCTTGTCCAGAGGGGCGGCCACATGCTTGCCCCTGAGCTGGTTTCAGACCCTGTCAGACCCAGTCTGGACCATCAGCGCCCTACCTGGCCACTCCTTATGTGTGGCGGAAGGCTGGTCTCAGGCTGCACAGAAGGGTCCTCCCAGGTGACTTCTGTTGCCACAGCCCACTTGGTTAATCCCACAGAACCAAGTAATCTGGAGCAGATCTTCCAAGCCTACCCTTGGCCCTCACTGTTCCCAATCTCTACCACCTTTCTCCTTTCCCCCAGTAAAACGCCCTCAAGAAATTTCTGCAACTCGACACCTCCTCCAGGAAGCCTCCCTCCTTCCCAGCCTCACTTCCCAACAGGGGAGTGTCTGTCTTGAGCTTTCCTGACTTGGGAGAGGGAGGAACCTTCTTAGACAGACAGGAGTGCCTAGGAAGGAGTCTCCCCTCACCAGCCTACTAGCAACCTGCTGGGCGTGGGGGCAGATGATACTGGTAGGCTGCCACTCAGCTCCAGACCCCTCCCTCCCTCCCACCCTCCAGAAATCTGCTCACAGGTCGTTGGCCTTGGGGATCAGCATTCCCAGCTCCTTGATGCGGTCGTTAATGTTGAACCTCCGTCTCCGTTCAACTACAGGAGCAGATTTGCAGAGGAAGCCATTAGAAGGATGGATGGGGAACCTACCAGGGTGGGGCGCCCCAGGAGCAACCTRCGGCTTAGGTTTAGCCTTCTAGGAAGTAAGGGGTGACCAACACTCTACAGGTAGAGGGGGTCAGGGCACAGAGCAGACACAATTAAGGGGTGCTATGAGGAACAGCCAGCCTTGGTCCGCAAGCTGCGTGGGGGTGAACCTGCCCCCCACCCCCACCCCTCGGTGGCCTCAGGCTCCAGACCTAGAGAACACAACCCCATCAACTGGGATTTCATGACTACCCTTTCCAGGGAGGGTCTCCCACCCCCTCCCTCCTAAAAAAGGAACTGGAAAGAAGGTAGTAAGGACCACACCCACCATGGAGTCACTTTCCATGGGGGGTGGAAAGCAGGAGAGGTGCGTGGGCTAGGGAGGCTGGCCAGAGCGTGTGGGTCAGCCAGCCCTGGAGAGAGCACTGGACAGGGCAGACAGGACTTACTCAGGTTGTGATTGTCTTTCTTCTGCCGCTCCTTGGCCAGGGCTCGGCTCTCAGCGTCTGGAGGCCAGAGGAGGAGAGTGTTGCTGGGAAGGAGGCTCGAGGAGGGAGGGAGAGGGGGCGGAGGCTCGAGGAGGGAGGGCGGCAATACCTGTGAGCTCTCGCTTTTGGGTCAGGTCCGCAGGGCAGGAGCTGCTGGTGACACCCACCAGGGAGGCTGTGACCTGGGGGTCGCTGCTGTACACGTTCAGGTGGCTGCTGGAGAGGGGCAGCTGTGCGGGGAGGGCAGGAGAGAGGCTCAGGGAGAGGCCCCCTCTCTGTGGAGAGTCCTCTTCAGGGCCCATAGTCCCAGGCGCAGCTGTTGTCAGGGTCACCAGGGGCGTCAAAACTCGCCTGGGCCCCTTCTCCAGCAACTCAAGCTGGATGTCTGGGGTCAGAGCTGAGCAGGGGCCCTGGAGTGGCTGAGCAGTGATGGAATTAGGTGGGGTCTACGGAAGCCCTAGGGAGGGGCCTAATGAATTCTGGAGTTTTTGGAGGGTTTCCTGGAGGGTGTGGTACTCCATTGAGTCCTGAGCACAGAGGTGAGGAAGGGAAGGTGCTATGGGTCGGGGGTGGCACGAGCCAATGAGCTGAGGACAGCAGTTGCCAAGAGCTCAAGGTCAAGGAGTTCGGTGTGATGGGCAGGGGCAGGCCATGCAGCTGGTCCTGGATTCTGGAATGGGCACCCTGGGAAGGCTGAAGCCGGGGTCTGACAGGGCTCCCACCATAGGAGTACAGAGCAAAACCGCAGGCCCAGACTCCCTGCCGTGCACGCAGGACCTACTGAAGGGAACAGATGATTGCATCTCTCCTCAGCCTCCTCCCTCCTCAGCCCTCCTGCTGGCTGCAGGTTTAGACCCAACTGGTCCTGGCCAGCTCCTGCAAAGCCACTCAGCAATGTCACCTGGGCAGTAGGGACTGTGGACTGACTCCTTGACTCCCCACTGCAGGAATTAGGAACTCTTCCTCTGTGGTGAGGACTCTGGGCGATAAGAGGCTCAGGCCCAAGGTGCAGGGCCACCCAGTTAAGGTTTGGGATCTCAAACCAAGGGGATCGGCCCCCTGCGGTGCCACCCACTCAGCTTCAACACTTGTCACTCTTGGGCTGAAGCTGCCCTGCATTTTTTTGTCTCATGTAATCTTCCCACAGTCCTGTGAGTGGATGGCCTCACACCCATTCTGCAGCAGAGAAAATGGGCTCAGGATGGTTGAGGGGCTTCCTAACATCAGAGCAGAGCCAGGCCTCTGGATTCCAAGCCCAGTTACTTCCCACCGGCCTCCTCAGCCCTGTCTGGGACATCCAAAATGTGGCCACACTTCAGATGCTGTCAGAGGGACAGGTTCTCTGGTTGGGGGGGACAAGGCCAGCCTGAGTGAGGGACATGGGCTTTTGCTCTCTGGGGCCTGGGTTTGGTAGAGGAGTAGAGCCGTAGATTCCAAAAGGAACTCATCAGCTCCTACCTTCCTGTGGACACACCACTGCCCTCCCAGAAGGTCCTCTCTGCCTCCCTTCTTCCTCCCCGGAAGCCTCCGGAAACCGCCCAGCCCCCTTGCTCCCCTCCGAAGCCCCATCATGCACCCAGGCTGAGGCACATCTTTCTGGATTCATAACTCTGCTTGCCCCTAGGCCTGGTCACATTATTTGAGGAAGTGACCCCCTCCCCATCTCTACCCAGATGCCAGCTCTGCCTTGATGAGCCCTCTGCAGACTCAGGGTCTCCGTGAGTCCTGTGAGCCACCCTCCCCCGTTCATACAACCCACCCACCCAGCCCAGGAATACCGTGTTGGGCATCTGCATTTCAGGATTGATGTAGCCCAGCACATTGTCCAGACGCATAATGTTGTCAATGACGTCATCAAACTGGGGGGAAAAAAAAAGAAAAGTCAATCTGAAGAGGGTCCACCTGGAGAAGGGCAGAGGGGACAGTGCTGACCAAGAAGGATCTTGGAGGCACCTCATCCACTCATCTACAAGAGGAGGAAACGGGCCCAGAGAAAGGATGAGCTGTCCAGGTCCCACAACCAACCCCAAGGCCAGGAAGGACTCTTTACTAGCCCCCTGCCAACCCAGGGGATGGTTTATTTTGTTTTTTTGATACTGGGAATCCCATACCAAAAACCCAGCTGTGCCACTGAGTACATCCCTAGATATCATTATTTTTATTTTGAGTCAAGGTCTCTCTCTCTCTCTAAATCCGCCCTGAACTGGCAATCCCCCTGCCTCCCCTGAGTTGCTGGGATTTCAGGCACCATGCCCCATGAGGTTCTTGATCTACCTCTACCTAGGGCTTCGATGGGGGTGCTGGGCTTTCCTGGCTGCGTCTTATGTTTTTCCATAGCTGAGTTTTCACAAGTAAGGATGGTGCTTGCCCTCAGACTGGAGCGCCCCGAGAGCAGAGCTGTGTCTCCCTCAGATGGGGGCTCTCTGAGGAGTCAGCGTGCCTCTGCCATTAGACCAGGATTCCCCAGAGCACAGCCTCCGGCAGCACCAGCTCTACCAGCACAGTGGCCACTGGCCGGCTGTCACTCACCTCCTTCTCAGGGTTGGAGCTGATGTGCAGCATGGCCATGGGGCTGTTGGGTGCACTGTTGCTGGCTGAGGTGGACAGCACATGTCCAGCCCGTACTCCGGGGGAGGCGGCTGGTGGGGGCTTTGGGGAGCCCTGGGCGGGGCTGATGTGGGCAGCGAACTTGTTCCCGTAGGTCTCTGACAGGTACTCCCGCACCTTCTGGTGCTGGGACTGCTGCAGGTGGTAGGAGGTGGGATTCTCCAGGTAGGACTGCACCTGGGAGAAGAAGAGGTGCCAGTTCCCATGGGGGTCGGGACCAGGGGCAGGGGGTAAGCGTGGCCAGAGCAGGCCTTACCTTTAGCACCTCCCCGGGCACAGGCGGCGGCGACTGGAAGTGGACGGGGGTGTTGATGGCTGGAGTGGGAGGCCCCCCCAGTTGTTGCTGCTGCTGCTGCTGCTGCATGTAATGCATGACGGCCTGCTGCTGCATGCGCTCCCGCTGCTCCTCCTGCTGCGCCTGCTCCCGCATGAGCTGCATGCGCAGCCCGATGCGCGATGCCATGGTGGCTGCTGGCCCGGGCTCCCTGCAGATGAGGGGAGACAGGTCTATGACGCACTTGTCTTCCTCATGGCCCTGGGGCTCAGAGAGGGGCCAGTGCCAGGGCAAGTGAGACTGTTCCCATTGTACAGGAGGAGAAACTGAGTCCAGAGAGGGGAAGGAATTTGTCCAAGGCCACTGAGCAAGCTGGCCACCGAGCTGAGACATGACGCCAAGTTTCCTGGTTGCTAGATTGGAACTGAAGTTGCTCTCTTCTTCATCTGTTGCAGCTGATTGGCCCCCAACTTGGAGTCAACCCTGACTCCTCTTCCTCTGGTCTGTGTCCTGATCCTGTAAGATCTGGCCTCAGTCACTTCCTCCTCTGTCAACACCTCTGCTACTCTCCCCTGGGCCAGCCTGCGCCACGCCTTCCCTGAGTGGCTTCCTGATGTTGACTCCCTCTTTCCATCCTTCCCTACCGCGTTCTGCTCACAACTCAGTAATTACACGGATCTGGTTAAAACCGAAGGCAGTTCCTTTCTGGTCCTCTGCTCCGCAATCTCCTCCGTGGCTCCTACTTTGTTCTGAGTAAAAGGCAAAGTCCTTACCCTGGCCTGAAAGGCTATCTATGATCTGCTGCCCCTGCATATTCCCCTTGGACGTCACCTCCCGCTGTTCTCCGCCTGGTTCCATCTGCTCTGGCCACACCTCCAGCTTCTGCAATCCTCAAACACCCCAGGCATGTTCCCACCTCAGGGCCTTTGCACTTGCTGCCCCCTCTGCCTGAAATGCTCTTTCCACAGATACCATAATGCTTCACTCCTTCACCTCCTCCAAGGCTCAAACGTCACCTAACAGTGATGTTCCATGACCATCCTATTAAAACTGCAAACTCCCTACCCCAGCCACCCCCCCATGCTCCCCAAGGCCCTTCCCTCTTATTTTTTCTCCATATCAGTTATCGCCATCTTAAATACTATGCATTTTTGCTTACTTATTTCATTCATTGTCTGTCCCTTACTTACTAGGAATGTGAGCCGCCCCTAGGGCAGGCATTTGTCTGTTTTGTTTACTGCAGTACCTTCAGCCTCTAGCCTGGAGCCTGGGACTCAGATGCTAAGTCAATGAATATGATATTTGAACCAGGCACTGGGGACACAAATGTGGTCCCTGAGCTCACAGAGAATATAAAACCCCCTGAGGAAAGGGCCACTTTAGGGCACCAGGTGCTGAAAGTCCGGGAGAATGCTCCCTGCCCTTAGTACATCAGCCCTGATCTACTGTGGGGCAGATGTGACTGAGGCCCCCAAGCCTAGTCTGGAAGGCAGGAGGATGGGACAGAATGAATCCTGCAGCTGGGCGCACTCTGTCCCTAGCTCACCTGGTGACCCTAGGCAAGTGCCTTCCTCTCACTGAGCCCTCCGCTCCTTGTGCAGAAAATGAAAAAGTTGGATGTAGAACACAGTGATCTCCTTTTTTTCCTTTTCTTTTTTTTTTTTTTTTAAACAGGGATTGAACTCAGGGGGTGCTTAACCACTGAGCCACATCCCAGGCCTTTTTTTAAAAAAATATTTTGTTTTAGTTGTAGTTGGACACAATACCTTTATTTTATTTTGATGTGGTGCTGAGGAATGAACCCAGCACCCCTCACGTGCTAGGTGAGCGCTCTATTGCTGAGCCACAACCCCAGCCCCCACACGCTTTTTTTGTATTCTATCTAGAGCCAGATTTCACCAAGTTGCTGAGGCTGGCTTTGAACTCAAGATCCTCCTGCCTCAGCCTCCCAAGCTGCTAAGATTACAGGTGTGCGCCACCATGCCAGGTGGACCCAGTGATTTCTTTCATTTTTTAAAAATGAATTTGTGTGTGTGTGTGTGTGTGTTACTGGGATGCATCCCCAGCCCTCTTTATTTCGAGACAGGGTCTCACTCACATTGGCCTGAAACTTGTGAATCCTCCTACCTTAGCCTCCCAAGTACCTGGGATGACAGGTGTGAACCACCATGCCTGCTGGACCCAGTGATTTCTAAAGTGCCTCTCAGCTGCCATGGGCTGAGGCTCTCTGGGAGGTGCAAGGCCCTTGAGGGTACTCCAGACCCCAGGAGGGTACCGGGAGAGGCTGGAGGGTCTTTATCCTGGGGATTTTGCCAGAGGCAGAATGACCTTGAGGTTGAGCAAGGGCTTTCAAATAGGGCAGATGTGGGCTGGAGCCTCAGTTTCCTCATTTGTAAACAGCTTCTAGTTGGGAAGATTGGGGAGAGTATTAAATAAAAATAATGTGTCAGTGCACCTGCCAGGCTGAATGGGTGAGATACAGATCAGCAGGAGACTGGCAGGGTGAGCTGGGCTCTGCAGACCAAAGGCCAGAGCTGCGTCTCAAGCTCCTAGGAATGAGCCCGACCTCGGGGAGAGGCAAAGGAAAGCAGCAACATAGACATGGTACCAAGTCAGCATCAGCAGAAAGTTCTGGCAAATACCCAACGAAAATCACTGGATCATGGAAACGATAGTAATTGGGGTTCATATGAGCATTTATTATAGGTCAGGTCAGGTGCTGAACATTTGCTCCTCAAAGGTCCTATGAGATAGAGAAGGAGAGACAGAGGCACAGCCAGGGACTGGTCTTGCAGTCGGGGCAGTGCTGGGACATAGTCCCAGGCACTTGGGCTATGGGTCCATGCTGGGGAGGGAGGGTCTCCCTATAGGGTGGGGAGGGAGCTTGTCCCTAGTTACACAGCTGGTTGACCAGGGTCAGGCATGGAGCCCAAGCCACCTGACCGCCATCCAGAGCTCCCTCCACCACCACGGTCAGCTTCCCTACCGAGTGGGAAGCACTATTCACCCTCAAGGTCTGCACTATTCACCCTAGAGGTCTGAAACGCAGTGTCCAGCCCCTCACCCTCCTTCCTTCTCTTCCCCTTAGGCCATTAATCTATGAAAGGGCCGCCTCAGCCCAGGGGTCCTCCCAGAGGAGGGAGCAGAGCCCCCTTACCCCTCCCCATCCTGAGGCAGCCATACAGCTGCAGTCTCCACCAGGGCTCACCCCCCCCTTCCCTGTGCTCCTACAGAGGGGTGTCCCTGTCCTCGCACCCCCACTGCACACTATGCACACTAGCCCTACAGACCTTCAGGCTCTGAACCCAGCCCAGCGGGCTCCCCGCAGCTGCACCCCACACACCCACGCGCCCTGGGCTGCCCCTCCCCAGTACAATCTGACTTCAGTTGGCCCTGGGGGTKGAGGCACCGGGCCTGGCCGTGCCAGCCAGCTCTGGGGGTGCTGGGGGAGAACGAGATCCTTGTTTCCCTGACAAAGAGCCGGGTGCCTGGCCCTGCCCAGCTGGAGCAGACTTGCAGTGAGAACTCTGCTGGGCCCTGCTCAGTCTCTCCCTGGCTGGGTTGACCTCAATTCCCCATCTGTAAAATGGACACATGAATCCCTGACCCCTTTCCTCCCCCACCTGCCAGGGATCTGTGTGACCCTCCTGGGGAAGGATGTGAGAGAAGGAAGAACAGTGAGGAGTCCTCATGCCAGAGGTTATGAGCAGCCCTGGACGAAGCTTTCCCCTGCTCCACCTGTCTCTTGGACAATGCTGTCACACCCCTGGGAACAGAGTTTCAGCTTCTTCCCTCTCCTGGTTCCCAGCTTGGGTCGCTGTGGGTGTGGTCTGGTTGGGAAGGTACGGGATGCAGGCAGGGAACTTGCGGGGCATCTACCGCAGATGGGTGGTCCAGGGGATACCCCRGGCATGCTAAGCCTGTTTGCTCACTCTCCAAGCTTGGGGGCCATTCACCGCCTTCCCCAGCACCCAGCAGAGCCAGAAAGAGCTGGAGGAGGGACAGGGAAAGTCACTGTGCTCCTGAGCCCCTCCCTCCAGCGGGACCTCCAGGCCTGGCGAGGGTCCACAGGCACATATTCAGGACACCAGGGCCTGGTGGATCTACCACAMCCAGATCAGCCCCCACCCCAGGTGGCACTTCCTCCTGAGGGGAGAGGTTTGTCACCCCAGAGAATTCCTGCCCTGCCCCGTGGTGTGGCCACCCTTAAGACCCACCAGTTGCTTCCCACTGCTGCTCGCCCAGGACCTCTCAGCAACTCTGCCTCAGCCCAGTTCTGAGTTCCAGCTTAGCCACAAGTGGCCCACGGACTGCCTGCACTGACCGGGTGACACTGGAAAATGGCTGAACCTCTATGGGCCTTACCGTCCTCATCTCTATACATGAAGCCAATGGTAGCACCTGCCTCAAGGGGCCGCTGTGAGGATTCAAGGGGGCCTGGGGTGGGGAACTGGCCCGCAGGCCCTCAGGCGTTCTTGGAGGGGGCAGGGTTCTGGTCTTCTGGGGTGGGGGTGCCAGAGCTGGTTTCATCCAGCTGTGTGGGGGCTTCCCCATCAGCCATTTAAACCTCAGCAGGAGCAACCTGGTCAGAGTCTTAGTCCTCAGATAAGTGGGCAGGAAAGGGGTGGGGGAGATGGGGGGAAAAAATCACTGGACCCCAGGAAGGAAAGGCAAGGAGAAAGAAGACCCCAAAACAGGAAYGTCACAGCCATCAGAAGAAGAGAGCAAAGTTGTAGCACTGAATGGAAAAAAAAAAAAAACGAACTGCAGAATAAAATGGACAGCCTGAGCCCAGTTAGGCAGAAAACGGGTRTATGTGTAGAAAAGACTGGAAGGCTCTTCCTACTGGGAGCAACATGCTTACTGAATGCTTGCCACAGGCTGGAGCTGCCCCTGTGCTTTTCAAACATCAACTCATTTATTCCTCACAACAACCCAATGAGGACATTTCTACCACTGTCTCCATTTTTCAGGGAAGAAACTGAAGCACCGAGAGGTGAAGGGACCTGTCCAAAGTTCTCCAGCAGACCGACAGCAGAATGAAGAGGTAGCCAAGGCAGTCTGGCTCTGGGGCTCCAGCCTTTCGTTCCTATTCTGGGCTCCCCAGCACCCTGAACTGTTGAGAGTGCTTGCCTGGGGGGGAGGGCTACCCAAAGGGGTGGCAAATGGGAATAGGTTTATACAGTTTCTCTTTCCACGTAGGAAGCTCTTAACTTCCAATGTGTGCATGCGTGACTTGGGTGAGTCTTAATAAAGTGGGAAAGGAGACAGGAACAGCTTCTGGGGGTCTGCGTGGGGTCCGACTGCTACCAATCATATCTGAAGGGACATCTCAGAGAAGGGGTACCCCCAGCTCACCCTGTCCGGCCCAAGCCCTACTCTGCGCAGTGCAATGGTTGTTCAGGCCAGCCAGGGAAGCCGGGGGAAGGCACTGGAGTAGCCATCAAAGGCAGGGATCAGGGCTGGCAACCCCGTGCCAGCTGGGGCGGCAAGGCCAGGACACGGGGCCCAGCTGGGTTTCCACTGCAGCCCCAGACGTGAACCTCAGGGTTCAGAGGGGCACAGTCTTCATGCAGTGCCTCTCAAACTGCTTTTTAGCTGRGTCAACGTCCCCTTGATCGCTTGTGGAGCCTGAACTACTGGGGGATTTTTCTGTTTTCCACGTGATCCTTTAAAAATTGGAGCGGGAAGCTGAAGCCCATACGCCCCCGTGACCCAGAGAGTCCACTCTTACTTCTATGCCTGCCAGAAAAGCACTCATGTGTTCACCAAAGGACATCTGCAGCACCGTGGATGGGAGCCCAAGCTAGAATCCACCCAAAGAGTCATTAAAGAAAAAGGGATAAAGAAGAGTGGCACAGGGACACAGCAGAATGCTGCTCGGCAATGAGAGCGAACCACTGTTGTCACACACAACACCGAAGGCTCTCACAGACACTGTGTCGCAACAGAAGCCAGACACAAAAATGCTCACAGCACGATCAGTGCATGTAAGGTTCAAAAACAGCCAAAATGCATCTCCTGTGTTAGAAGTCAGGATCCTCAGTTGGCCTTGGGGGAATGCCTGGGAGGGAGGACCAGGTGGGCTTGGTGGGTGGGGGGACTCCGAATGTTCTGTAATTGGTGGCAGGTGTTGGTGTCTTGTTTGTGATCTTTGGCCAGCAGCTCAGTTGCAGTTTGTTTCATTTTTAGAAGTCACGTAAGAGTGAAGGCAGACCTTACAGAGTTTAAGAGTGAAGCAGATTACTTTCTACCACACACAAATGTGTCCACGACTTTACAATGCCTTTGGTACCAGGCACCTCCAACAGATGGCTAGTATGTACCTCACTGGCAATTTGTATGTATTTGCTAGCCTGAGAGAGGCTAGCAAATGCACAAAAGGCTTTTATGCATACAGATGCACTTCACATTATATAGAGAAAAAAATTTTAAATCCCCATGTCCAGMAATAGGTAGTAAAATAAGTTACAGTGGGTCCCTCCTGATGGTTGTTATGCTTACAAATAAACACCATGGGGATATATCAAGTGACAAAAAGTAGCATGCAAAATTTTATAAAAAGTCTGCTCATCACTGTAAAAATGAGAATAACCTCTTGGGAGAAAATATACAAAATTATTTCTGACTTCCTTGGATGATGCAATTAGGAGGAGTGTTTGTGTGTGTTTTAATCTTTTGGAAGAGTGAACACATGTGTCGTTTTTTGCAAACAGCTTATGCTAATGAAGTTCTCATTATGTGCCAGGTTCTGATTGAAGCACCATATTTAATTTTGACATTCCTTTGCAATATGAGTTTCATTATTGTCCCCGGTTCACAGATGAGGAAACACAAGTGCAAGAGGCTGTTGCTCCAGGCCCCGGAGCATCAGGTCCTGCAGTCTGGCTCCCCCCCCCCCTAACCCTGAGCTAGGAGTTTGGCTTCCCTCCTGTGATCTGGCTGAAGGTTGCACATATTGTTTTAGGGATTCCCTCTGAAGAAGTCCCCAGCCACCAGAAGTTTTCAGTGGCTGATCTCTTCTATCTAGCCCCAGGGCCAGAGGGTGTCCAGGATGATGGAACTATCTGGAACCCTCAACCACAGAAGAAAAAACTACCCTTCCTCAAAGGGTAGAGATAATTTCCTGTATTCCCAGAAAAGCATGTCTGACGGATGAAACAACAAAGCGTGTGATCCCAGCGGCGGGGATGCCTGTTAGGTTCTGTGCCTTTGTGGTCGGAAGAAGTTTCCTTCTCATTGAGTCTGTTCCAAATTTCCCACTGTGCAGGAGCTGCAGTCAGTTCCAGGGGAATTCACTGACCACCAAGGGAGGCCTCCTGAATAGTCCCCAGGTGGAAAGGACCCCAGGACCTCCTGGGAGCCTCTCAGCCTTGGGAAGGAAAGAGGAGGGGAAGATTCCAGGTTCAGGGTTGGTTCTGTTTTTTTCTGAGCTCCCTCTGGCAGAGGAGGTGGTAGGAAGGCCTGGTGAACTGCAGGAAACGGAATAAGAATGTCTACATAATCCCCATGCCTTAGGCAAGGCCATTCCAAGTCCCAGAGGCAGTCATGGGTCCCCCTGGGGTCTCGGGGGCATTGGCTTGGCCCCAGTCCAAACAGAGCTGGGGTGGGGAGGTCTCCTATGACTCCCAGGGGCCCTCAGTCCTGCCCATAAGATTCCAGGAGAAGGGCAGAGGACTTGGGATCAAAACATTTGGGTTCACATGGCATGGCCTCTGTCTCCCCATTGGTCCACAGGGCTTGACAGCTGGGTCCACCTCTCTCACAAGACTGTGGTACCCTGCATGGGGATCCTGGGTGTGGGACCCTCTGCAAGGGTGAAAGTGTGGGCAGAGAAATGTGTCTTCAGTATCATTGCTGTTCACTGTCACTCTACCCAGGTCCACTGGGAATGTCCGTGTACAAGTCCCTGCTTTCTGCCCCTTTTAAGTTCCTTTCAGAATGGACCCCATCCATCTGCCCAGGTAGCCACACAGCCATCTGAGGGCCCCAGGCAGTTGCAGCATGATCTCTACCTCTCTTCACTGGACAGGGGCAGAAAGGCCTCGCCCAAAGCCATGGGTGTTTATAGACCGTGCAGCAGTGGACCTGAGAAAACGTGAAGAACTATATTCAGCTCTGGATTCTAAAGGCATATTGAGTAGGCAGGCTACCTAGCACAGTGCCTAGCACATTGGAGACCCTGAATAATATAAGTTATTATGTTATCTGGCCATGGCTCCCTAGAGGTTATGAAGGGTGGCCATGGGGCCCTCTGGCTACTTCCAATATTGAAAAACAGCAACCTGACTTCCCCGGGTTAAGTGTGCACTGTTTGATTTGGAAGGTTCTTGTACAGGAAGCAGAAATGAGGTCAGTGGTACATGCTTTCAACATTTTTAATTCATTGTTTTTGGTCTTTTTCTGTTTTGCTGAGATACACATGATCTCAGCAAAATGCACAGATTCGAGGAGTGTGTTGGCGGCCTTTTAACAGGTGTGTACCCCTGTGCGACCACCTAGTGGAGTCAGACAGCAGCCCCAGCACCCCAGAAGGCTGCCCCCAGGACCCCACCCAGAGGGCAGTTGTAGTCCGACCTTCAGCACGGTGGCTGAGTGTCACTGATCTCCAACAGCATGTAGAGGCTGGGATGGGCTTCTGTATCTTTCATGCAAAAGAATCACTCTGCCAAGTAGAAACACTTGGCACTGGTTGATCCAACTCCTATTTGTAATGAATAAAGATCAGAAAATAGTGAGTTACACGAGGAAGCCAAGGCTCCAGAAGGAGGCCTGCAAGTCACACCCCAGTGCAGCAGAGCAACCCTGGGACCCGGACACACTCTGCTGGGAGGCAGGAGCTGCAGGCTGGGGCGGGTGCAGTCTGAGGCTTGTTTTTAAACCTCTGAGCCCCCAGCAGGACTGGGGAGGAGGGAAAGGAAGGAGAGGGGAGGAAGGGCAGCAGCTTAGTGGCCTCCAGTTCCCACAGCCCAGGCCCATCAACCCCAAGTCCCAGCTCACATCCCACAGGAAAGGGTGGGAGCCGGCGCCTCAGCCTGACCAGCCTGTCTGCCTGGGGCAAGGCGGGACCACTGTGCTGCTCATGGGGCAGCTTCAAAGGCCTTTCCAGACCAGAAAGGCGCCCATCCTATACCACAGGGACGGTGCATGAGGCCTAGCCCACGAGGACTGTCACGAGTGGCAGACCAGGGAGGTGAGGGTGGGGAGACATGTAGGTGGAAGGTGGAGGGGCTGGAAAGGTCCTGGGGTGCTCCACCCAGGTGACATGACATGCCTGGATCCAGCCAAGACCCCCTGCATGCCCTTTGTCTCTGCCTCTTGCTGGTCCGTTGTCTCCCTGTCTCTCTTTCTCCTTCTCTCACACACAGGCTGCTGAATCCCTCACCACAGTCTAAGGTTCCCCTTAGCAGGCAGCCCCCTTTCCCCATGTTGGAGTGGGGCCAGAAGACTGGAACCCCCCTTTTCCTTGCCCCCTGTACCCTACTCCTGTAGTGTCCACTCCAGTGTCCTGCCCGTGTCTACTCTGCTTTGTTCTCTAGTTGTTTACTGGCCACCTATTAAGCTCCCCAGGTACCAGGAAGCTTCCAGAAAAATTACCTCTCTTCTTTGGAACATCCACCCCTCTCCCCCATTAGGGCAGACACAGGACCATTGGCCATGCTCGACCAATAGCCCAGCAAACGCTCACTCATCCCAGGTCACCAGTTCAGCAAGTACGCCCTGTGTCCCTACCAGGCCCATGTTAGACCTCATGCAACCCCACAGACACTTCAAATGGCAGAGGGGAAACTGAGACTCAGAAAGGTTCAATGTCATGTTCAAGGTCACACCTCAAAAACAGTGAAGTGGGGATATCAGCCCAGGTCTCTCGTGGGTGTGTGACCACCACTGGCTCTAGCAGAGAGGAAGCCAGGGACATAGGAAAGACCCCCATGCAGATAGGTTACTGTCTCCTGCACTCCAAGCCCTGCCCCACTCCCATGTCATGCCACCCTCAGTGAACCCTACAGAAGGTCCCCAGAGAAGCCCGAGCACCCCTCAGACCTTCCCGATGCCCCAGGACGTGGGAAATCCCCAGCTGCAGACACTCTTTTCTGCTAMATTGCCCAAGGATCCATGCGCAGGAGCCCTGGGAACCATATATCTGAATTTCACGGAGGCAGTTAACATGGACCGTGAGAGGGTTGCGGGGGGGGGGGGGGGGTCTATCAAGGTAGGACCAAAATCTGATGACCTGGATCAGAGACCTGGCACTGGACCACTGTGCAGTGAGCATGGAGGGAGAGGGTCCAGCCCACAGATGGCTCCTTAGACAGGAAAGGGGAAGGGGAAGGTCACAGAGGCTGCAGCTGTGGGTACCCCTCCCCCACTAAGCCTGCCCCCTTCCCCAGCAAGCAAAGGGCACTACGTTTCTATGGATGATAGGTAGGTTAGCCCCTGTGGTCCCCAGTAGAACAGAGTTCCAATCTGGCTTTGCCTCTTCCCAGAGATGTGACCAGGGCAGGTGCTTGAACTCCCAGAACCTCAGTTTCCCCCTCTGTACAACAGATGGCAGCCAACCCACCTTTCTCCGAGTAGGAGGGGAGGTAAAAGGAGCGGAAGCTCTGATACACCTGGCCTGGAGGGGGCAGTCTGCCTGTGTTAGCTCCCTGCCTGGTGGCCCCTGTCCTCCCAGCTGGAGTTCCGATGGCCCCACCCAGGAGACTTACGGGCACCATCAAGAAACTACTTATTGTCTGCTGGGGACTTAGTTTCAAGCATGAAATTGGGTGATATGTGGAGGAGACAGTAGGGAAGTGGTGGCCCCAGGAGGAGAGAGATACAGGACAGACGGGGTACCCTGAACCTCACAGTGAACTTGAGCAAAGAGGCCTGCCTCTCGGGCCCCAGAAGAGCTAAGTGGAGACCATAGTGCAAGGCTCCAGGCTGGCTCTGTGCTCGGTGGCCTCACTGGGCACTGGGCTGTGGCCTGCCAGGTGGAGGAAGCAGTTGATGTCTATGGGGAACAGTCTAAAAGTCGGGGTGGCTACCACTGGAAAAGCCACCCGACCGCCATGTGAGACACACCCATTCACACACCGCCTCTTGCACGTAGAGATGCTCCCTGTCACGTGCACACCTTCCTAGGGCTTGCCTCCCAAAGAACAGCTCCCACGGAGGGCTGACAACCTCAAGGACAGCGTGTTTCTGGGCACACAGGAGGCTCGGGGACGGTGAAGTCCCTGCAGCAGGCCTAGAGCCCACTGTTTCCTCCATCCTGCTCTGCCCTTCCCTCCCACCTGCCTACACCCCAACTCTATCCAAGCAATGAGAAGTCCAAGGCCCACTCACATGAGGTTGGCAAGGATCTGAATTTTAATTGGTCACCTGCCTGATGACCCTCCTTCCCAGTACACAAACATACACCGTACCATATCGCTGGGGTACAAACGGCCATGTGGTGCTCTGATTCTAGGGTCCCCTGTGACATGGCCACACACAGCAGAGGCTGCACCCAACTCTCAAGAACACTCAYACAGAACAATGGCAAAGCCCACCTTGTCCCCAACCACACAACTGCAAGAGAGGCAGGGACCCTTGTCCACTCTGCCTAGGGACAAGTGACAGCTCTTATCTCCAGCTCAGAAACACACACCCACAGGCCTCTGTCACTCTGTCACTGCTGTAGGTTGTACTGTCAGGGCCCCCCAGGTTCACATGGGTGCCAAAGAAACCCTAAAATGTGAGGCCAGAACCCCAGGCAGGTCTAGGGTGCCCAAGAGCGAGCCACTAACCAGGGGATCGACTGGGGCTGTTGGAGGGCGTATGATTTCACAGGTTCTGGAAAGGCCCTTGGGCCCCAAAGTATCTCCCCCGAGGGTCCGGAAATCCCTCCTAACCCTCTGAGGTTTGCTGCCGGGAGCCCCTGAAGCTCTCATAGCTCACACCCTGGGAGAAGCAGCTGACAGCTGGCTGGAGGGTGGCCCAAGATGGGCAGGGGTAGGAGTGGTGCCAGTCAAAGGCCAGTGCTCAGAGGCAGGATGTCATCTGCCAGGGCTGCCCTGCCTGCCAGCTCTTGCCAGGAGGGGGCACCCTGCCCCCCAAAACTTGCCCAGGGCTGCTCCCCGAGAAGCCAGCACCCCCTGGCCAAGGAGGAGGGTCTGACGAGGGGATATTTCATCACCCTCTCCACATACATGCCAGGGAAAGAGTCCCATCCCAACTGTCCCCGAAGGAAGGCGAATGCGGAGATCAGAGGGGGTGGGAGCACTGAGAAAGGGGAGGCGGAGGGACAGGAGGGGAATTAACCAGGTTCCAAAATAGCACAGTTGGTTCTGCCTCACTTCACCCGGCACAGTGTCTGGCAGCTTCTGCTTTCGATGTGACTCACGCCTGGTGGGGGCAGGTCCGGGCGGCCAGTGCAGGCCGAGGCACCGGACGACCACAGGCAGTAACCCAGAACTGCCCGCCACGGAGCTGCTCTCCCCCACTGGGCGCCCCTGCCCTGCCTGCCAGGAGATCTGAGAGCGGTCAACAGTGGCACCATGTCCACAGGCTGCTGGGCCAGGGTGCCGTCCGTGGCCCAGCACACCCAGCTCCAGCGAGGCTGGCCCCCCAGGCCCAGAGCTCTGCTTGTCTCCTACCCCGCTGGGGACACTCGGCTGGCTTTTCCACCCCTCCAGCCAGAGAAGCCTGAGGACACCTGCCCTGAAAATCGCCCTGCCCCCCCAGAACTGACTTCCTAGAGCAACATTCCAATGATCCATCCCAGCCAACCACTTGCCACCGTCTCCTCGGGGCACACACAGGTACGACAGGAACATAAAGGTCTTTCCCCCAAATTCCCACTGACCCATCCTTGAGCCCCACCCCTTTTTTTGTCCTTAAATACTACAAGAAACCTTTGCCCTTACCAGGACAGAGAGAAGAGTGGAGGGTTGAAGTGTGCGCGCTGGGTGTGGGCAGAGCGTCAGGAACTCTGCTCTCCCCCTATAATTATCTTTATCTCCATGCCCTCTGCCTCCCCAGCTCCAAGGCTCAGAGCTGCTCTACTTTCCCCCACGGCGGTGAAGCTCGGGCGGCAGGTGCCTCAGACCTCCTTCCTGGATCCAGGAAGTTTAAACCTGAGACAAGAATGGACAGCCTCCACTTTCAGTCCCTCCTGCCATCACACCACACCCCAGCCTGGAAGAAGTGCAGCCACTTTTCTATGCAAGTGGGGTACAGAGATGCAAARGGTGGCATCTGGCCCTGGCATCTGGCTTGGAGTGGACGCTCCTAGTAAGCTGGAGGGAATGTCAGAAGTGATGAGGTTGGTCAGAATAGGCACCCACACGCCCGCCCTGACACACACGCCCTGCCCAAACCTGGTATGGTGGTAGAAACGTCAAGGGGAAGGGCTGCAGGTGGCAGCTGGAGTGACAAGTCATAACAACTGGGACCCAGCATGCCTGCCCCTGGCCCAGTGCAGTTTCCAGTGGGAGTGTGCAGCCAGACCAGCCAGGCCCAGCCCTGGCCCTGCCCCGCCCCCCAACAGGGGCCCTACCTACACCACTTCCCTCTTTTTTAACTCTTGCTGTTCCCTCAGCCCCATAAGGTGGGAGACCTGTGTTGGGAGGCTGCAAGGTCTGCATGGAAGCAGGTGCAGCCAGAGGGAGGAGGCTGCTCTCCAGGAAGCAGGCATTGGCAGAGCTTCCRCTGGGGACAAACAGGGGTGCCTTAGCC